GAGGAGGAGGATGAGGAGGAGGAGGCGGATGATGATGATGAGGAGGAGGAGAAGGAGGAGGAGGAGGATAATACTAATAGTAATAAGAATAATCAAAATAATAATATTAAGCAGAATATTAGTAATACGAATCACAAGGAAAATGAACATACGAGGAAGCCGAATAATCTTAATACTACTAAACATAAGACTACTACTACTCCTAATACTACTACTACAACTAATACTACTACTACTAATTATAATACTAATAGTAATGCGAATACCAATAGTACCAATAATACTAATACTATTAATACTACCAATTAAAACACTAATATAATACCGGTAATACTACTAATACTACTACTAATCATACATATCATAATAATACTAATAATAATTCTGCTGATAATGATACCACTACTAATATTATCAACACCACCACTACTACTACTACTACTACTACTACTACTACTACTACTAGTACTACTATTAATACTTATAACATTCGCACTAACAATATTATTAATACTAATATCACTGATCATAAATATAATACTTTTCCGAATACTACTAACAATACTACTACTACTAAGAATGAGAGCAGTACTACTAATATTATTCATCATAATAGTAATAGTAATACTAACACAAATACTACTACTACTACTAGTAATGATAGTAAACGTAATACTAAACATACTACATGTAATATTATTAATACTAAGAATGTACATAATGTGAATAATAGTAGTATCAATAAGAACAATGCTAATAATGGTACTAGTCCTGATCAAACTCATACTAATAATAGTATGGATAATAATATAACCATATTACTAGCCATCATAATACCAATACTACTAGTACTAATACTACTACTACTATCAATCACACGACTAGTAATACTACTAATAATGCTAATGCTACTGATAATAATACTTCTAATACTACTAATACTAATACTAATACTAATACTAATACTAATACTAATACTAATACTAATACTAATACTAATACTAATACTAATACTTATACTAATATTAATACTACTACGAATACTAATACGAATGCTAATACTAATACTAATACTAATACCAACACTAATACTAATACTAACACGAATACGGATACGAATGCGAATACTAATAATGATACTACTACTAATAATGCTATTAGTTCTACTACTGCTAATGATATTAATGCTACTAATAATACTGGTATCACTACTAATAATAATATTCATAATACTACTACTAATAATATTAATAGTAATACGAATAAAAATAGTAATAAACATACTAATACTACTGATAGTATCAATAAAACTAATACTAACAGTAATACTGCTAATGGTACTACTAATACTACAAATAATAATAATAATACGAAGACTACTAATATTGGTAATAGTAATACTACTACTAATGGAGGAGGAGGAGGAGGAGGAGGAGGAGGAGGAGGAGGAGGAGGAGGAGGAGGGAGGAGGAGGGAGGAGGGGAGGAGGAGGAGGAGAGGAGGAGGAGAGGAGGAGGAGGAGGAGGAGGAGGAGGACAAGGGAGGAGGCGGAGGAGGAGGAGGAGGAGGAGGAAGAGGAGGAGGAGGAGGAGGCGGAGGAGGAGGAGGAGGAGGAGGAGGAAGAGGAAGAGGACGAGGAATACAAAGAAGCAGAAGCATAATAATAACAACAAGAAGAAGACGACTAATAATAATAATAAGAATAATCATAAGAATAATACAAAAACGAATAATAATGAAACCGCTACTAATAATAGTATTAATAATAATACTAAGAAGAAGACGACTAATAAGACGCATAATGCGCATACTAAGCATACTAATCATACTAATAATAAGAAGAATAAGAAGAGCAATAATAATAATAATACGAAGAAGAAGACGACGAATATTAATACGAATAATCATACGAATCATAAGAATAATACTATTACGAAGAGGAATCATCATACTAAAAAAGACGGCTAAGCAACATACGAATAATATTAATAATAATACAAATCATAATGCGATTTATAATACTAAGAAGAAGAAGCATACTACTAATAATACTAATAGAGATACTACGAAGAAGAATAATAGCAACACCAACAATACAAACACTAATACTGATAATAATAATGATAATACTAATAAGAATAATAGGAGTACTAATAACACTAATAACAATACTATTGTCAATCTTTTTTTTTTCAAAAAACACTAATAATACTAATACTGATAATCATAATAATAATATTATTATTAGTAATAATAATATTATTAATACTATTTTTAATAATCATAACAATACTAATACTAATAATGCTGATAATAATACTCATAATACTACTACTACGAAGACGAATCACAATAATAAGCATAATGCTAAGACTAACACGAATAATAATATTAATACTAATAATACGACTAAGAATAATAAAATGAAGAGGAGGAGGAGGAGGCGGAGGAGGAGGAGGAGGAGGAGGAGGAGGAGGAGGAGGGAAGAGGAGGAGGAGGAGGAGGAGGAGGGGAGGAGGAGGAGGAAGAGGAGGAGGTGAGGAGGGAGCGAGGAGGAGGAGGAGGAAGGAGGAGGAGGAGGAGGAGTAGGAGGAGGAGGAGGAGGAGGGAGGAGGGGGAGGAGGGAGGAGGGAGGAGGGAGGAGGGGAGGAGGGAGGAGGGAGGAGGGAGGGGAGGAGGGGAGGAGGTAGGGAGGAGGGAGGAGGGGAAGGAGGAGGAGGGAGGAGGGAGGAGGGAGGAGAGGAGGGAGGAGGGAGGAGGAGGGAGAGGAGGAGGAGGAGGAGGAGAGGAGAGGAGGAGGAGGAGGAGGAGGAGGAGGAGGAGGAGGAGGAGGGAGGAGGAGGACCTTCTGGACTTCTGGCCAAGCACCGAGGTCGTGCGGGGAGAGAGCGGGGGAGGGGGGGGGGGGGGGGGGGGAGGGCCGCCTGCGCCGAGCTGCCCGTGGTCGCCCTTATGGGCCAGCCGCCTTAGTGAGTGGGCTAGCCTTCGGTTTCTGCACCACGGCTCACTCGACGGCGGCCTCTGCTTGCACTCCAGCGCGCACCATCGCACAGGCCATCACCCAGGCACGGGCCTTCCGCGAGCGGTGCTGCTCCTCTGCCCTCAACTCCTGCTGCACGGCCAGATCGAGGGCCACAGCAGCGCGCGCGGCGGCGTCAGGAGGCGCCGCGGGGTTCTCCTGCAGCCGCACCAGCGCCTGCGCCGCGGCCACGCTGACAGCCTGGCAACAGCAGAGGCACTCCGCAGCGTCGTCCTCCTCTTCGACCGCCGCGCGGAGGGCAATCATCTTCTCCGCTTCCGCTTCGGGGTTTGCCTCCACGGCTTCCCCAGGATGCGCTGCACTCCAATCTCCAGCAACGGCCTGATGTTCGAGCACAGCTGCGCCCCCAACCTCTCGGTGGACTCCAGCTTCACCGTTCGCAGCTCCGTGCAGAAGCTGGCGTCGGGCCACAGCTTCGCATCCCCCGTCTCGTGGGACTCCAGCTTCGCGCTCGCAGGCCGCTTCCGCTTCGGGGTCTGCCTTCACGGCTCCCCCAGGACGCAACGCACCCCGATCTCCAGCGACGGCCAGATGTTCGAGTCCAGCTGCGCCTTCTACTTCACGGTGCACTCCAGCTTCACCATTCGCAGCTCCGTGCAGAAGCTGACGTCTGGCTCCAGCTTCGCATCCACCGTGTCGTGGGGCTCCACCTTCGCTCTCGCCAGCGCCATCGCCCAGCGCTGCGCCTTCGGGGTCTGCCTTCACGGCTCCCCCAGGATGCACTGCACCCCAATCGCCATCAGCAGGGCAGTCATCCCCCGCAGGGGCCCGAAAGCTCTGCACGTGGAGCCCCTCCAGCGGCACCGTGCGCTCCACCTCGAAGTCGCTCTCGAGCTCGCTCTCTGACATGGCGTCCAGCTCCACGCAAGAACTGCCCTCGTCGAGCTCGCCGCCGTCGTCGTCATCGAGCTCGCAGACCTCCTCCGAGACGCCCTGCAGCTCGTCGTCGTCCTCGTTCGTCTCGCCGTTCGGGGCGTCCACGTCCTCCTTCCCACCCGCCGCGGCTCTGCGCTCCGCCAGCCGCCACCCCGCCTCCAGGCCCTCCACAAAGGCCTCGGCATGCGGGAGCGTCTCCAGCGGGAGCCACATCCTCGGCGCGAGCGGCATGAGCACGTGACCAGCCCTTCCACTCTCGAAGTCGAACTGGCCGACGACCTGCTTCTCCTCCGTGGATGCGCAGTCCGCCGCCAGCCAGCCCAGCAGCGCGTGCACGTCGGCACCAGGGTTCGGCACCTCGCGCGGCACTGCCGAGCGCCTGCAGGCGGCCCCCAGCTCATCGACACAGATCTCCACCTTGAAGTCCGACTCCACGTCCTCGCCCGCGCGATCCGCGGCCGCGACGGCCCCGAGCCTGGGCCCTCTCGCCGCCTGCCGCAAGGCGGCCGCGGGGGCACAGCACAGGTTGCCTGGCACACGAGCCGCATGCATGGCGACGTTGCGCCGCAGCCGCTGCAGCGCCGTCGGGCTCCGACCCGCCAGCAGGGCGACCAACGCGGGCGCGCAAGCCGCCAGGCGGTCCGCTAGGCCGTCGCGCTCGGTCACCGCGTCGAGCGCCTCCAGGGCCGCATCGAGGCCCGCACTGAGCTCCTCCACCTGCGCGGTGAGGCGCTGCACGAGCCTGTCCGCCGAGGCCCTGGCCCACGCTCTCCGCTGCTGCCGCGACGTGGCCGTCTCCTGGCGCCCTCCAGTGGCGCCTCCCGCAGCCATCATGCTCGCACCGCCCGCCGCGCCTGGGGGGTTCGAGCCAGCTTGAGCCAAAATGGCTACGGAAGAGAAGGAGGAGGAGGAGGAGGAGGAGGAGGAGGATGAGGAGGAGGAGGAGGAGGAGGAGGAGGATGAGGAGGAGGAGGAGGAGGAGGGAGAGGAGGAGGAGGAGGAGGAGGAGGAGGAGGCGGAGGAGGAGGAGGAGGCGGAGGAGGAGGAGGGGAGAGGAGGAGGAGGAGGAGGAGGAGGAGGAGGAGGAGGAGGAGGAGGAGGAGGAGGAGGAGGAGGAGGAGGAGGAGGAGGAGGAGGAGGAGGAGGGAGGAGGAGGGGAGGAGGGAGGAGGAGGAGGAGGAGGAGGAGGAGGAGGGAGGAGGAGGAGGAGGAGGAGGAGGAGGAGGAGGAGGAGGAGAAGGAGAAGAGGTAGTAGGAGGAGGAGGAGGAGGAGGAGGAGGAGGAGAGGAGGAAGGAGGAGGAGGAGGGAGAGGAGGAGGAGGAGGAGGAGGAGGGGAGGAGGAGGAGGAGGAGGGAGGAGGAGGGAGGAGGGAGGAGGGAGGAGGGAGGAGGGCGGAGGGAGGAGGAGGAGGAGGGAGGAGGGAGGAGGGAGGAGGGAGGAGGGAGGAGGGAGGAGGGAGGAGGGAGGAGGGAGGAGGGAGGAGGAGGAGGGAGGAGGAGGAGGAGAGGGGAGGAGGAGGAGGAGGAGGAGGAGGAGGAGAGAGGGAGGAGGAGGAGGAGGAGGAGGAGGAGGAGGCGGAGGAGGAGGAGGAGGAGGAGGAGGAGGAGGAGGAGGAGAAGGAGGGAGAAAGGGACGCTGTGCGCGTGGAGGCTTTTGGACGCTCGCCACGGCGGCACTCCCATCCCGTAGCGCGTCAACGTTGTCAACGTTGTTAACGTTGAGCCTCCCTCCTTCCCCTCCTGCTGCCAGCGGGATCTCAGAGCTCCAGGTGGGGCGGCCCTCCAATGCACCAACGTTATCAACGTTGCCAACGTTGTCAACGTTGGGCCCCCTCCCTGCCAGTGAGGACGCAGGGCTCCAGCTTAGGCGGCCCCCCAAGGCGCCAACGTTGTCAACGTTGTCAACGTTGTCAGCGTGGAGTCCCCTCCGAGCTCGCCCCCTCCCCCCCTGCCAGCGAGGACACAGGCCTGAAGGTGAGGCGCCCCCTCCAAGGCGCCACAAGGCGCCAACGTTGTCAACGTTGTCAACGTTGTCAACGTTGGGCCTCCCCCCCCTGCCAGCGAGGACCCAGGTCTCCAAGTGAGGCGACTCCCCAAGGGGCCAACGTTGTCAACGTTGTCAACGTTGGGCCTCCCCCCTGCCAGCGAGTACCCAGGGCTTCAGGTTGGGTGGCCCCCAAGGTGCCAACGTTGTCAACGTTGTCAACGTTGGGCCTCCCCCCCCTGCCAGCAGAGGATCCGGAGCTCCCAGACCAGGAACTCCAGGAGCTCCGGGAGCTCCCGGAGCTCCAGGTCCAGAGCTCCCAGAGTTCCCTTTCAGGGACTGAGGCTTGCTTGCGTCAATGTGTTGTTCAGCCTTACGCATAGGGACTCAGGGTTGCTTGCGTCAGACAGACGCCCCCCCAGGGGGCTAACGTTGTCAACGTTGCCAGCATTGACAACGTTGGGCCCCCCCCTGCCAGCGGAGGACCCAGAGCTCCAGGTGAGGTGGCCCCCTAAGGCGCCAACGGTGTCAACGTTGTCAACGTTGTCAACGGTGGGCACCCCCCTGCCAGCGAGGACCCAGGGCTTCAGGTGAGGCGGTCCCCCAAGGCGCCAACTTTGTCAACGTTGTCAACGTTGACAACTTTGACGCCTTGGGAGACTTTCTGTCTGACGCAAGCAAGCCTCCGTCCCTCAACAGACGACGCCGTAACAGCGAGCGCAAGGAAGCCTCAGTCCCGATGCGTGAGGCTGAACAACACATGGACGCAAGTAAGCCTCAGTCCCTGAAAGGGAACTCTGGGAGCTCTGGACCTGGAGCTCCGGGAGCTCCCGGAGCTCCTGGAGTTCCCGGAGCTCCCGGTCCGGGAGCGCAGGGATCTCGCTGGCAGGGGGGGGAGGCCCAACGCTGACAACGTTGATACCGTTGACAACGTTGGCGCCTTGGGGGGCCGCCCCATCTTGACTCCTGCGTTCTGGCTGACGAGGGAGGGGGAGGGAGGAGGCCCAATGTTGACAACGTTGACAACGTTGGTGCCTTGGGAGCCGCCTCACCTGGGGCCCTAGGTACACGCTGGCAGAGGGAGGGAGGCCCAACGTTGACAACGTTGACAACGCTGATAACGTTGACGCCTTAGGGGGACCGTTTGTCTGACGCAAGCAAGCCTCAGTCCCACGGCGAACGCAAGCAAGCCTCAGTCCCTGTAAAGGAACCCCGGGAGCTCTGGACCTCGAGCTCCAGGAGCTCGGGGATCTCGCTGGCAGAGGGGAGGTAGGGAAGCCCAACGTTGACAACTTTGACAACGTTGACAGCGTTGGCGCCTTGGGGGGCCGTCCCATCTTGAGTCCTGTGCTCTGGCTGACGAGGGAGGGGGAGGGAGGAGGCCCAACGTTGACAACGCTGACAACGTTGACGCCTTGGGGGGCCGCCTCACCTGGGGCCCTAGGTACACGCTGGCAGAGGGAGGGAGGCCCAACGTTGGCGACGTTGACAACGTTGACGACGTTGACGCCCGGGGGCGGGCGCCTCAATTGAGGCCCTGGGTCCTCGCTGGCAGGGGGGGAGGGAGGCTTAACGTTGACAACGTTGACAACGATGACAATGTTGACGCCTTGGCGGCCGCCTCACATGGAGTTCTGGGATCTCGCTGGCAGTGGGGGGAGGGAGGGAGGCCCAACGTTGACATTGTTGACATTGTTGACAACGTTGGCGCCATGGGTAACCGCCCCATCAGGAGCCCTGAGTCCTCGCTGGCAGAGAGAGGAGAGGTCGGAAGCGGAGGAGGAGGAAAGAAGAGATGAACATGAGTAGGAGTAGGAGTAGGATTGAGAACGAATTGCAATCTGCAAGTCAGCCACTGATATTTTTCAACACTGTTGACAATACATATATATATATAGATGTATATACATACATACATTTGTGTCAGATCATGTGTACCGTGATCCGATACGTAGCCTTTTTGGCCCAGACACAATGCCAAGACGCCGGCGGACTGTGTGTTGTCGCGGCAATAGGCAGGCGAACCGCGCCACCCAGGTCCCTTTTCAAGGGACATGGGCTTGTGCGCCGCTTGCCGCGGCCGGGCGCTCCAGGCAGGCGGCAGCAATGGCGGTTCGTCGGGATCCGCGGGGAGCAAACGGCTCGCTGGAGCTCTTGGCGGAGCCCAGTGTGGCGAGGCGAAGGCTCGACGAGGACAGGTAAATGGCAACTGTCATCTGGATCTTTGTCGCCCTTCGACATGGGGGCCCCTTCGGCTCTCATTCGATTTGCTCTTACAGTTGCTAGCGCTGCTGCACCAGCGCCGCTTGGCAGAGAAAGCGAAGCCTTGGCTTAAGAGGACGTCGTGTCAGCAGACGCGGGCGTTCCTCCTGAGGAAGCCCGTCGCGTGGTTGACATCATGACAGGCACGAAGTTCGGGCATTCCGATCGATACAAGGATCGGGTTTCGCTCGAAGTCCTCCGGGCGATGAGGCGAGCCCGGTCCAGGACGCACGCGGCAGCGATTGTTCTTGCTGTTCGATGCAAATCGAGCCCCCCCAGGGCTGTCGGAGAAGATGGCGGCCGCCTCGTAGGCGGAGGCAGAGTTCCTGGTCCGAGAACACAGAAACGGCACCGGTACCTACGAGCAGATTGGGAACAGCAAGGACGATTTGCAAGGGCTATTCGCCGCGGCGTCGGCGATGGAATGTCGAACCCCGCATCGCGACTGACGCCAGCTGGAGAATGCGATTGCGCAGCGGGACCAGCAGCATTGCCGCGGCAAGTGTTGCGAATGGTTCAGCGCCAGGCAGGCGGCTGCGGACCTCTGCCGCTTGCGCGGCTTCGTGGGCGGCCTCGTTGGCGGCACGCGGCCAGCTCAGTGCACCCTAGGGCCTGGAGCACGCAAAGGCTTCTACCTCGCAGAACGCGGGGAGAAACATCGAAATCCTTGGTATAGAATGAAGCGCGTGCCGCGTCGGTGTGCGTTTCTGCGCCAGACGGGCTCTTGTGAGTTCATGACATTAGTAGAGAGGATGAATTCTGCTGCATCTTGCGCCCGTGCGCGATACCAGCCTACGGAGGACCCGTTGCCGCGTTAGGCAAACTTGAGTCCGCGCGAAGTTGCCCGCGTCTGCTTGGGGATTGAAGGTTTGAGTTAGTGGGGCTAATTGCGGTCACAAAAAAATCCATCGCAATCATCATCGTCATCGTGGTCTTCGTCCGTTCATCGTTAGCGCTACCGCCACTATGACCTTCGTACTCAATATCATCGTCGCGCGCTCAGGTTTATGTACGAACGTGCTTGGCGTCTGTGCGAAACTTTTCGGGGCCCCTGGGGGTGCTATCGGGAGTGGTGCTTGTGGCTTCCTTGGGTGATTTTTATGTTTTCGCAGCATGAATAACTTCGAGGGTGCCGAGCCGTTTGATAAGGTTGACGCCTTGTTTTTTACTTTCGTGGTTGTCTCTGTGGCCCCCGAGGTGCAGTCAGAAGTGGAGCCTGTGGCTTTTCTTTGCGATATCCCCACGTTTTCGCAGCATGAAACCTCTAGGACGCCGACCATTCTGTCAGTTAGCGGTTTGTTTTCTACTTTCGTGGTAGTCACTGTGGTCTCCGGGGCCCCCAGGTTGCAGCCAGATGTGGAGCCTGTGGCTGTTTTCTCGCGATATATCTTCGTTTTCGCAGCAGGAAAAACTTCGAGGACGCCGAGCCATTTTGTTTTAGCTTGACGGCTTGTTTTTTTACTTTCGTGGTGGTCTCTGTGGTCTCTGGGGCGCCCGGGGTGCAGTCAGAAGTGGTGCCTGGGGTTTTTCCTTGCGATATCTCTATGTTTTCACAATATGAAAACCTCGGGGATGCCAAACCAATGTT